ATTCATTAATCACATGTGAATATGCAGTTATTTCAGTGTAATGTTTAAATGCTAATTTTATGACCTTTAGGCTCATGTGCTTTAACCTCTCTTCCTCTGCTGTTGCTGCTAGGAGCAGATTGGAAGGTTGTTCCTCTCTTTTAGGTTAAGCATTGTTATATCAGTATAAAGTTATTATGTTTATTTTTACTGTACTGTAGGACCAAAGTGGATATTTGATGCCCATGAGAACTAATGAATAAATAATATGTCCATGGGCACTAGTACCTAATCCCCATTAGTACTGGTATGTCCGTGGTGTGCACTACCTCCCTGCCTCCCCTGATTTTACTTATTTAATTTTTAAAGTTATTCAAATTTTTAAAAATGTTGTCAACTGGTGAAGGATTTCACTATAATTATGACACCAGTGTTGGCTAATGGAGTTGAAAAGACAGACTGGCAGTCAACAATAGGACTAGAAGCAATGAAGCACTGGCCTGCTTTTGTGCTAGCTGGGGAAAGTGACCCAACTGGGAAAAGGACAAGGCCAGTGTAGGTTAATCCCAAGGGGTTTGTGAGAGCTGATCTGAGGAGGCAAGTGCAGGCTGGACATTGTTTAAAAAGGAAGAGGGTAACCACAGCTCTCCTGCCATTTTTCACCTTCAGTGGAGGTTAAGTGCTATTCAGATTCTTACCAATTAATAAGGGAATCAGGAGGGGGAAGCAGGCAGGATTTGAAGTGTTCTTTTGGTTTGTGGGCAGTCCTTAGCTTAATTAGAGCACAGAAACTAGTCACAGCTTATTTCTTATAAGTTGTACATGGATGGAAGCCCTGCTGCCAGTATTGAACCACCTATAGGTAATAACACCTTTAAGGAAATTAGCAATACGCTAAATATCAGAGATAGGTGATGAGCCTAAGCAGCATTTGGATGAGTTATAAACTGATATGGGGGAAGTGAGGGAAGTGAGAGAGAGCTGAGTGTCCTAGAAATGCTGGTTAAAAAGGATTAAGTCAAGAATTGTTCCTCCATGGACCAACTCCCAAGTTAAATGGCAAGAAAAAAAATAATAGTATACAAAATTTAAACAACAAAAACTGGTGATGAAAAATATTTTCCACCAATGCTAAACTGAGTGATGTAATCAGTGAGGGAACTTATCATACCTATATTACAAGGTGCTGTAGTCGTAGACTAAATCCGAAGCCTTCAGTAGGGCTCAAGGAGTTTATTCTTCAGTGGATTTAGAGAGACAGTAAAACTGCCTGATACAGATTTTCTTGGAGGAGGCATTGACTGGAGATTTAGTGTACTGGATAGTGTAATGTCCATAAATCCTATGAGGTAATAAGACCAATACATATTTAATCCAAGCTTATACATGGTGATACCTAAATATATAGTGTGGACATACAGGATTTTTAATGTATTTATTTTGATTGATTTATATGCTGCTTTGATAAATGATTAGTTGAAGGTAAGATCCCCCTACATGAGGAACATTTTAAAAGGGATACCAGCTGGCAAGCTGCAAATCAGCAGTTTCTAGCATTTTCTTCTTTTTGATGAATAATTCTGGGCATCACATAGGGAGTACAGAGAGTAACTGCATTCAACTACTTTGTGTAGAAACACACTAACTGCTCAGAAAAAAGACAGAGGTGAAGAGGAACATCCGCAGGAACCAGAGTACATACAGTACAGAATGTAGTAAATGGGCATCTGAGCACTAACCATTCCAATGTTAAAATTGAAGCAAAAGATTTTAACCTTATCCTCAAAGCTATACCACAGAATATGAGAGAGACATTACTAACAAACCTAAATTTCACTTAAAGTAACATTGCATTCATATATGGTTAATTTCCAGTAAAGATTT